TTGCATTTTTATTGTAATTAATCCTCAGTCAAAAGAGACCATACATCACATTACATATAGCAATAAAATCATCAAGTCAGGATACCCCTCCCTATATGCAGCTCCCCCAACTCCTTGTTTATCTGGTGCTTCTAGAAGCACCAGATAAACAAGGAGTTAGATTGAACAGAAGGCTACACAGAATCCAATGAACCCCAGGCCTCTGGATGGCCAGCCCCATACAACCCAGATACAGAATGAGAAGTGACCACCTGCTATGATAGCAAGGTCATAGTTCCCCGCATTTCCCAATTCCTACTAAGCAAAAAGAAAAACGGATAACGAAACCAATTTCCATTTCCTAAGCAAAAAGAAAAACGGATTTCTGACTTCAAATCCAAAATCCATTGTCGACAGCAAAACGGATCTTTACGAATAACGATTAATTCCCATTTCCCTATTCGACAGCCAAACGGAAAACAAAATAATAACGATTCCCAAATCCCAAATCATATCTCAAGATAGCCTTGTTCAATGCGGTCTCTCGGCTTTTTGTCGAAGGGAGATAATCGGGCCCTGCACCCACAATCAACGCGGCTACGTGCGTGTACCACCGACCCTTGTCCGTGCGTGTACCGTACCACCGACCCTTGTCCGTACGAACGGTTTGGTACTAACACAACCAGCAAGCACAAACACGTGAGTACGGACTGTACGCATGGTGTAAATAAGGCAGTAAATGTAGGCCTACTATGTTCTGCGTGTGGGTGTACGTACGTACGTGTGGGGGATATACGCGCCGCGTGGCGGTTACGCGGACTAGCTCATGCATGTACATGTACATGTACATGTACATGTACAGTACTGTGTGTGCATGGCTGTTGTACGAGTATGTGTGTGATGTACATGTACATGTACGTACGTACGTACATGTACAAGCATAGCCTTGCTGTATGGGACAAGTTGCTTTCTCACTAGCAGCGTACGGGCATCGATATGTGCACGCAATTATGCCTTGCCAAGTTGATTAGGGATTTTCTTATCGGCGATTTTTTTTATCGGCGAATCGATAAGCCCAACGCCTTGGTCAAGGCTAATCTCAAGAAAGGAATTGGGATTTCTCAATGCATGATGGGAAAATTCGGACTTAGAAACTTTTTCGCAACTTCGTCCCCAGGGATAACTTTATTTTGTAACTTTCTTTCCTGTATTAAGTACCTGTCAGTGCGTACCGCTCAACACTACGTGTAAACGAGATTATATTTGACGCCGTTAATTGTGAAGAGCGCCACCTGTTGTTTGGTTATCCGATATCAACATTATGGATAATGTAGCGGTAGGCTAGGCCTGTACATCAGGTAAGTCTGGACTATTTACTTGTCAAAATTCAACTTCCTTTCGGCGTACTGGAAAGATTCCCATATCTAGACTTTAGTCATTTCTCCCTTCAGTGATTTATGCCACAATTCCGGTTTAAAATGCCCAAAAATATTGGATTTAGCCGGGAAATGTGTTACCAATGAATTCAACAGCACCGCCATGACCAGATGACCGCTGACATGGCTGATTGATGGCCGGCAGTGGATATTTTGCCGGAGACGGCAAACCTTCAGTTAACGTTAGTTTGCCGGATGTGCACTAAACATGCGCAGTTGCTGTTTTTTTTTGTACTTAAAAGTTTTCCGGTGACAAATTTTAGTCTGGCTCCATGCCAATATTATCGTTGTATTTTTGTATTTACAAGATTGGAATCAGACCATTGGCATTTTATAATTTCGGAATTTATTTCCCTTTATTAAAAGGCAGTGTATATTTTGCCGGAGACGGCAAACCTTTAGTAAACGTTAGTTTGCCGGATATGCACTGAACTAGCCCCACTAGTGTGGCCGTCGGTATGCTGCGCTGAACCTTTGGCCACACACCGTGGTACCGCGCGCTACTGAGGACGAAGTTTTTCATAAAATTCAGGGCAGTTTCTTACATTTTCAGTTTCTTACTTTCTTATGGTTGTATTCTATGATGTCTCCTATCACTTCTGGGATGCTTAGCATGTGCTTAGGTCTAATGATGTTCCATTTTCCGAGATATTCTTCAATCTTTCTGGAGTCCATATGCACTCGTGAAACGTCTGGTGATGGCAGCCATTTTGAATGGGACAAGAGATGACCTCAAGCTGTGACGTCGCGTGTATGCAAATTGCTTGTCGAGCGCGCGAGGGCGCGAGTTGCAAATGCGACGGCTGTTTCCTGTACCATGCATTTATCGTCAGGGGGCCACGTGCACCGATCTCTATTCAGGATCTACGGCACAGGAAACAGCCGTCGCATTTGCGACTCGCGCCCTCGCGCGCTCGACAAGTAATTTGCATAAACGCGACGTCACAGCTTGAGGTCATCTCTTGTCACATTCAAAATGGCTGCCACCACCAGACGTTTCACGAGTGCATTATGGGCTCCAGAAAGATTGAAGAATATCTCGGAAAATGGAACATCATTAGATCTAAGCACATGCTAAGCATCCCAGAAGTGATAGGAGGCATCATAGAATACAACCATAAGAAAGTAAGAAACTGAAAATGTAAGAAACTGCCCTGAATTTTATGAAAAACTTCGTCCTCAGTAGCGCGCGGTACCACGGTGTGTGGCCAAAGGTTCAGCGCAGCATACCGACGGCCACACTAGTGGGGCTAGCACTGAACTAGCCCCATAAATGTGGCCTATTTACTGGACTGCCTCCGCAAACATAGGCCACACATCCACATGTACAAAAATCGTGTCGACTTTGCCAAATTTTTATTTTCACATTTAGGCTTAGTTTGTAGGGTTTTTTTTGCTTTAGAAGCATACTCACCCTCGTAGGCTAATCAGAAAGTGCTGCCTTTTTCAGATGTTTATTTTTCGTGAAATTTCCAGATTCATTTTAACACGTTTGCGTATCAAAATTTCAACATGAAATTTCACAAATATTAGACATCTGAAAAAGGCAGCACTTTCTGACTAGCCTATAAAGAGGGTGGGTATGCTTCTAAAGCAAAAAAATCCTACAAACTAAGCCTAAAATTAATGTAAAAATCAAAATTTGGCAAAGTCAACACGATTTTTGTACATGTGGATGTGTGGCCTATGTTTGCGGAGGCGCCCTCTGTTGATATGGATTGCCACCGGCAAACCTTTAGTAAACGTTAGTTTGCCGGCGTTACCTCCAGCAAAATATCCACTATCTTTATTGATTCATTTTATTTCATCAACAGCTTTGAAAATGGAGTTGAGGCCAGACAGACAGGGGGCATAGGACTGCATATTTGCTCTCAGGTCATTTTATCTAATGCATTTAATGTTACATGTAGACACTATTCGTTTTTGAACTTTTCTCCAAAAACCTGACAATATTTATTGCCAATTGCCCTCTAATATTCAGGACCAATTTTTTTTTGGAATTATTCTTGACCATTCTCTTTATTTGGTGAACAATTTTGACCATCATCTGACTAGAGGCGTTTGCATGTTGATATTAGTGCTCAGGCATCAAATTACGTCAGGAATCGACCACTAGTCTCGCCCCAACTTGCTCATAGTTGTTTCTGTGGCATGGTTTAGCTGTATTGGCCCTTTTCCGGGGGAAAAAAGTAGTGCAGGTGGGAATATTATCAGAAAAACTAAGATGACATTTTTGTGTGTTTACGTTTCTAGAGTTACTTCTACAACGACGATAGGTTCAACCACAACTATGCGCAGGCCAAAGCCACAGCAGGCAACTACAAGGAAGCAGAGGAGGTAGGTTGGACTCCTGGACCCAATTTTCGTTGTTGCGCCCTCAATAGTTGGCCAGTCATGGCGCAGTGACTCGTCATGGTGCCTGAATTAGTCATGGTGCCTTTCATTTGCAAACATCAAAAACCAAAACTACCAAGTTATTATGAAATACCTGACTGTTAGGGAGTAATAGTCTCAAGCATCCTGTGAAATCACGGCACCTGGTGTGCTGTCATTTCTAAAAAAAGTGGAATTTTGTATCAATTTCCACCGATGGTCGGCCCTGTTTGAGAGAGAAGCCCGACTTTCTGTCTGTTCTCATCCATAAACTGTTGCCGTATACCTAGATGTAGAACAAAAAGATATTCCAATAGCTTATTTTCCCACGTGCTGCATCTCTTTGGAATTCCTTGCCTGGTGCTTATTTCCCTCCAACCTATGATCTGTCCTGATTCAAGAGGAGTGTGGAGTGCTGTGGCCTCGTGGTTAAGGGCGTTGGATTCGTGGTCTGCGGGTAAAGCTGCAGGTTGTGGGTTCGAGTCCAGCCTGGGGTTATGGTACGTGTGCCCTTGGGCAAGGCACTTTGTTACTCATTGCTTCTCCCCACCCAGGAGTAATAGGCTCTCAGCTTTGGTCCAAAAATTGGGCCACCGGTACCAGACGATCGAAAAGAGCAATGCTCATAGCGATTTTTTGAAAGGCACATCTAGAGTTGGAGAATGTGTGATAGCTTTGCAGTGTGAGTGGTGGCAGTGTTATCACTTTTGATTTGTGTTTTCAAAATTGCCGTCAATATGCTTGAACCGGATCAATTGTATGTTGTAACAAGCATGTTTTGGCTGCCATTTAAAAAAAAGAAAACAAGGGATAGTACCCAAAAAGCTGCCACCGCTGCAATGCTGTCAAATATTTTCCGACTAGAGGGGTGCATACCTTGCCAAAAATCACAATGAGCATTATTCCCCTCATTTGATACTGACCAAACCCCCACACTGATGGCTTATAAGTGGGTGCCTATGAGGGCAGAGATGGTGGGGTTGATTTAGCTGCTTTGCTCCGACTTGTAGCCCTGTATATCTGGAGTAGCTTTTAGCCTTGTTCAGGGTGAATAGGCATAAAAAAAAACAAGTCTAAAACCCGGATGGGGATCTTTCTGTGCCTCCTAGACCACTGTTTTGGTGGCAACACTTGGTTTTACCATGATTTAATTGGAGTGGGTTTCGTTTCTCTTGTTTTGCAGATTTTTGTGCTCATTCAGAGTGAGAAGATCAAGAATGACTACACGTGTCTCTGGTTGGCAAGATGCTGTGAGTATTACCGTCAATTGTGAATGACGTTTCCTCTTCCAACTTCCAAGTTGCTAATTATGGGAATGAATCCACCTGTTAAGCCTCAACTCATAATGTATTGACCACTCACAATTGTGACTGCACAACCAAATGTCCAACTCAAGTCACGACACGTCGCGTGCATGCATTTCATGTACTGCTGGAAAATCCAGAGTGGCATTAGGGAGATGCACATGTTGCCCATGTGTGAGGTAGACTGAAGGGTCTCTAACAATGACATAACCAGAATGCAATCATCGCCCTGATCGTATATTAAGGATGTGACTTTGCGTTTCATTTTGTAAACGTTAAGCAAATATTTTACGAACCGTTTTAAATGTTTAGCCATTGACAGTGGCTTTTGCCTACCCATTATGTCTGATCTGCAGATCGGCGTGATTGACATGATAAATCAACAATGGTTGACATAGTAAATAGCGGGCAGTCGTTGATAAAGTAAAAATGTTCTACGTGTTCCCCAAATGTAATCAATTATGAGGTGCTTCTAAGGTTTTGTAAATTAAGGAGGATTTGAAAACAATGTTAATTATTGGTGCTATGTGTGGTTATCTCCAAGGAAGATCGCGTGAACGGAGGTCCCTTTTGTATAATTCGGGTTTTGTTTACATGTTTTGAAAAATTTGTAAGCGGATTTAAAAGTTTTTTGTTCAAACGTGTAAACTTCACATCTTAGTCGTACATTTGCCATGTTGGATTTGCTCAATCACATTTCAAGCAGATTGTACGACAGGAATTTGCTACATTGAACATCCCTCTTGGCTCCCAAATATTGTACACAGTTACACTGAGCATTGCTGGCCGAAAATTGCTGAAACGAGCATCCACTGAACCGAACATCTTTTGTGGACCCCAATGTGTTTTCTTACAGCAGTATCCTATGTATTTATAACCTTTCTTTGTGTTGTTTTTCGCTGTTCAGACATCGTGAATCCTAAGGCCAGACTAGCCTGGGAGTTGTACCTTAAGATGGAGACGTCTGACGAATCGTTCAGCCTGCTGTAGCTCATTGCCAACGACGGCTACAAGGTAAAACATCATCCCCTAATTTTGTATGTTTGGTCAAGATTTTGGCATTAGCCCCAAATTAGTATCTAGTCACTCAATCTAAACCTGCAGCCGATTTCACAAAACACATTTGTCACTTCGTCAAAACCCAAATCGTAGAGGAAACGTCAATCTTAATATAACACACTTGTAAAAAAGAATGCACATATCCAGACGCCACTTCAGCCGTTGTGTACAAAGTCTATGGCGAGTCAAGAAAACTTTCCAAGTATTTCTGAACAAAATTGGAAATGTTTCTGCAGATTCGTGTTTGTGAAACATTTTTGCAATGACTCATCTTTATTGAGATGATGTGTGAAGACAAAAGTGGCGTCTGATTGCAACATTGTTTTCACGTGTAAAATCAACGAGAATACGAACCCCCGTCAAAAAAGAAAAAAAGAAAGATTTGTTGCACATTTACGACTTTGTGTCATTAGCTTGAATAATGAAGGATGCACTTTTGTGTCACAAACTTTGGTAAGCATGTAGAGGGCATCATAAAATATTAGAATAGCCAAAAATCCCAAACTGCTTAAAAATATTGATTTGGGACAAATTCATCACTTTGTCAACACTGTGGCGATATGATCGAAAAGTTCAGGTTTGTCATTCGGAATTCTGATTTTTTTTGCTCGACTTCAAAATATAATTGTCACGGTCTCTCGATCCTCAAATCTCATCTTTTCTATCGGTAGATGGCCAGTTCTACTATGCGACCAAGGCTTTCGGTGTCCTGGAAAGATTGGACCCCAATCCTGAATACTGGGAAGGCAAGCGAGGGGCATGCGTGGGCGTATTCCAGCAGATCATAGCTGGTCATGAACCAAGGTGGGTGTCATCTCTGTCAATCAGCAGTGCACACTGACCAATTAGATCTCAACCTTTGGTCAGGTGACCACAGTACATCAATCAAACAGTGCGTACTGACCAATTACATCTCAATAAGTACAGTATATCACTCCGGTGCTCTACCAACTGAGCTATCCAGCCCAATGTTGGCGGTTCCCTAATTGTCAATGTCTCTGTCAAAGGGGCGCTAGTCAGAAGCCCTCAACCCGCATATGCCATGCAGCCAGGGATCACGCCCAAAGTCACGATGCAGACCTGGCAAATATCAAACGGGGATCACTCAGAGAGGATACGGCTTTTTATTGCAAATTTTCATGAATACTTCGCAACTTCTTAGCCCTCTAGTTCAAATTCATTTATCTTTATGGATTTTTCCTTTTTCCCCCTAAATTCTATAAACAGCTTTCATTTTCACTATTAGGTTTTGCCCTTCACTGACGTATAAACACTGTATACTCAGTGCATTACCTCCCGAGTTAAAGTTGAAAAAATTACTCGGTTGGGACTCGAACCCATGACCTCCTGCTTGTTAGTGCAGACGTCTTAACCACTGGACCATCAAGCTTACAGAATTGGTTGCCTAGCCAGCCAACCAACCCCGTAAGCTCCATGGTCGAGTCGTGGGTTCGAATCCCACCCAAGTGATTATTTTTCCAACTTTCACTCGGGAGGTAACACACTGAGTATACAGTGTTTATACATCGGTGAAGGGCAAATCCTAATATTGATTGACATCGCCCCGACGCAAAGTCCATCTTGTTAATAGCTTTCATTTTCATGTGCACAAAACCCAGTGAAGTTCAAGCCACTTGATTTTTGTCATTTTTTTTTCCTCTACAGAGAAACACTGCGAGACATCCTCCAAATCTTGCGCAACACCGGTAACCCGCAGGTGGAATACATCATCCGTGTCATGAAGAAGTGGGCCAAGGACAACAGGGTACCAGTTTCCTGAGGTGGTCCCTATCCTAGTCTTGAGATTGTTTAAATGTGTTTATCCAAAAAACCCTGCTTCGCAAAGGGATTTTCCAAACATAAAATAATGAAACGATACTGTTGATTAATTTAAGAGTGATTTGTTCTTCACATTGAGAAATTTGCCTTGAAATATTTCTCTATTTAGCTTTGGCAAGATGGTTATGCAGGAGAGAACAACAGTTCTGGAGAGAGGCTAGTCTCTCATGGCATAAACAAAGTAGGCTTGCCTAGTTAAGCTGGACTCTGTGACTCAGTCAGTGACTCAGTCAGTGACTCAGTCAGCAACTCAGTGACTCGATCAGCGACTCAGTGATTGTGTCAGATTCAGTCAGTGACTTGGTCAGTGACTCGTCAGTGACTCGGTCAGCGACTCGTCAGTGATTTGGTCAGTGACTCGGTTAGTGAATCACTCAGTGACTCATTGAGCGACTCAGTGGCTCAGTCAACAACTCAGTGACTCGGTCAGTGACTCAGTCAGTGACTCAGTCAGTGACTCGGTCAGCGACTCGGTTAGTGAATCACTCAGTGACTCATTGAGCGACTCAGTGGCTCAGTCATCAACTCAGTGACTTGGTCAGTGTCTCAGTAAGTGACTCTGTCAGTGACTCTCTCAGTGACTCGGTCAGTCAGTGGCTCATTCAGTAGCTCAATGACTCGGTCAGTCAGTACGTGACTAATAGTGACTGACTCGATACTCTGGGACTCAGTCAGACAGTTGAAGTCAGGTAGCATTGAAATGCTCATATCATAATTATAAAGGTTCTCGTCATAAATGTTGCTTAGGACAACTCTGCAAGTTTGTTTTCTTGGAGTTTCTGGGGCCTGTTTAGAGACAACCCAACGGCATGAGAATGGGCCAGGAATGGTTATTCAAGGAGGGGGGTAGTCATCTGTACGTAATGTAATTATACTAATTAATGGTTTATATTGATATAAATATACATGTACAAGTTTTCAGAGCACGTTTGTCAGGTAATTAGGGTGTAAGGTCCAGAAGGCATGAAACAAATTGAAGATGAGTGATTTGAACTGGGCCCAATTTCATAGCGCTTCTAAGCACACAATTTCTGCCAGCAGAGCCTCTCCGTCTATATTACGGAGACTGTTAGGAGTAAACACGGCAAAAGGCATGCTAATACCTCAGAGGAACAATTTGCTTAACTTACCGTAAGCAGTAAACACAGCAAAAGGCATGCTAATACCTCAGAGGAACAATTTGCTTAACTTACCGTAAGCAGTAAACACAGCAAAAGGCATGCTAATACCTCAGAGGAACAATTTGCTTAACTTACCGTAAGCAGTAAACACAGCAAAAGGCATGCTAATACCTCAGAGGAACAATTTGCTTAACTTACCGTAAGCAGTAAACACAGCAAAAGGCATGCTAATACCTCAGAGGAACAATTTGCTTAACTTACCGTAAGCAGTAAACACAGCAAAAGGCATGCTAATACCTCAGAGGAACAATTTGCTTAACTTATCGTAAGCAGTAAACACAGCAAAAGGCATGCTGATACCTCAGAGGAACAATTTGCTTAACTTACCGTAAGCAGTAAACACAGCAAAAGGCAGGCTAATACCTCAGAGGAACAATTTGCTTAACTTACCGTAAGCAGTAAACACAACAAAAGGCACGCTAATACCTCAGAGGAACAATTTGCTTAACTTACCGTAAGCAGTAAACACAGCAAAAGGCATGCTGATACCTCAGAGGAACAATTTGCTTAACTTACCGTAAGCAGTAAACACAGCAAAAGGCATGCTGATACCTCAGAGGAACAATTTGCTTAACTTACCGTAAGCAGTAAACACAGCAAAAGGCATGCCGATACCTCAGAGGAACAATTTACTTAACTTATACCGTAAGCAGTAAACACAGCAAAAGGCATGCTAATACCTCAGAGGAACAATTTGCTTAACTGTAATACCGTAAGCAGTAAACACAGCAAAAGGCATGCTAATACCTCAGAGGAACAAATTGCTTAACTTAGCGTAAGCAATGAACACAGCAAAAGGCATGCTGATACCTCAGATGAACAATTTGCTTAACTTTTGACGTAACAATGTACATGTAGATCTCAATGCGTGCTGAACCGTTAGCACATCCACGCCATGAGTGCTTAAGGATGGTACAATGTTCTGCTGTAGTAATGAGCACAGCTTTTCTGGTAACTGTTAAGCAGCGCCATGCAATAAGGCCCAGGTTGTATTCAAGTCCCGAGTCTGCACAAATCATTGAAAGTCAATCTTGTCATCCATGTCCCAAGTCAGTTTCAGAAATTTCAATCCAACAGAATCTTTCTCAAAGGCAATCTATCACATTGTCAATACTATATTTTTTTTTCATGTACAATATTGGGAAAGAATGTTGCAACCTGATGCTGCTTTTTCTTCATATCATCTCAATGAAGTCATCCATTGCAAAAATGATGGTGGGTCATTCCATGTCAGACCAACGCACTTTTTTACCTCATGTCTTCCGATTTTGATTAAAATTGCTGTGCTTGTAGGTCCTAATGAGCAATGAATACACACCAATTTTTAGCACGATCCGACCTACCATGTGGTCAGGGCAGAAGCCACAAAAAATGGCATTTTTAGAGTAAAATACCACCCTTTTGGTATAAATATGTCAAAACTATGGCAATTTTCATCGAATATATGTGAATTTGTTATTAAAATAATGAGGATTGCATGCTCAAAGCACTTCTTTTGTCAAAATTATATTTTGTGAAAAGTAGGTCACATGACCTTTAATATGCTATCGTGACCTTTGACCCATTTTTTGTAATAATGTATCATTCCGAAAATCAACGAAATCAAAATAACTTGCTAGAGCATGTCTTCCTCTATCAGAATCTACTAAACATCAGTTGGGGTCTTCAAAATTTACAACTTTATGACTATTTTTGTACAGTTGGTAGGTTACAAATGAGTCAATTTATAGACTTTACATAAGAAATACACCAACACAACTTACTATTCTGTTTCTAAAGTTACTAAAATATATCTTGGTTTGTGAATTTCTCATTCTGAGGGCTGATGAGGTCTAACCAGACTCATAGTGTAGATTATCAGCAGTGGCGCACCCAGGATTTGGCTTTTGGTGGGGGGGGGGTCATAAATCGTTTTTTGGTTCAAATTTCTGTTAAAGATTGGACCAACAAAAACTAGCCTAAAATCAAACAAACAAATTGACAATGTTGGGGGTATGTTCAAGCCCCCCCCCCCCCCCCCCTCCTGGGTGCCACTGATAATTAGTTATCCCACGAGCGCGCTTGGAATATGAAATAATGCAATGCTGCCGTGACCCATATGCCACTCGATGCACTACATAATTCCGTGTTCCACGAGCGCAAGTGGGATTTATAACCAATTTATCTTCAAGCAAACTTGATATCAAATGCGTACATGCGGTGAAGATGATATGTACGTGCATACATGTACTGTTTTGGTCCGTTCTGCAGGAAATAACACAACATATGTACACGTACATTTCTAATATCTGGGGTGCAATATAGCTGTGCAATATTAAAATCACACAGTTGTTGCTATAGATGGACTAATCAGGGTCTAGGATTCAAGTTTGCTTGAAGATATACTTAATATTACAATCAAAGTTACCTTTACTCATTCATCACTGTGCTTCTTGAACTTTAATGACTCTCACAGACTTGGCATTTTGTTTCTTTGAGATGAATTTCACCTGGATGTGAGTCCGCTGTACTGGGTGAAGGCCTGGTAACTGTTAGTGGTTAGCACACTTCCGAGTCCAGATATTCTGATTAGACAGTTTCTTTGGAATCAGAAGGTAGAATTTTGTTTTTCCTGGCTTTGTACTTTATACATAAAAATCTAGATTAATTTTAGTAACTTAAGAAACAGAATAGTAAGTTGTGTTGGTGTATTTCTTATGTAAAGTCTATAAATTGACTCATTTGTAACCTACCAACTGTACAAAAGTAGTCATAAAGTTGTAAATTTTGAAGACCCCAACTGATTTTTAGTAGATTCTGATAGAGGAAGACATGCTCTAGCAAGTTATTTTGATTTCGTTGATTTTCGGAATGATACATTATTACAAAAATTTGGTCAAAGGTCACGATAGCATATTAAAGGTCACATGACCTACTTTTCACAAAATATAATTTTGACAAAAGAAGTGCTTTGAGCATGCAATCCTCATTATTTTAATACCAAATCCACATATATTCGATGAAAATTGCCATAGTTTTGACATATACCAAAAGGGTGGTATTTTACTCTAAAAATGCCATTTTTTGTGGCTTCTGCCCTGACCACATGGTAGGTCAGATCGGGCTAAAAATTGGTGTGTATTCATTGCTCATTAGGACCTACAAGCACAGCAATTTTTATTAAAATCGGAAGACATGAGGTAAAAAAGTGCGTTGGTCTGACATGGAATGACCCTGGTAGGACATGAATCTGGGACTGAGAAATACTTTTTTTCTTGACGCTCCATAGACTTTGCACACAACCGCTGAACTGGCGTCTGGTTGCAACATTCTTTTCCAATATTGTGTGATATTCTGACTTCATTTCTTTATTTCATCTGTAAAAACATTAAATGTTTACTGCCTTTCTTTAAAGGGAAGATACAACATTTGCAAACATCACAAAACGAAATGATCAAATTATCGCGAAATACCTTACTGGATTGTTGGGGAATGACAGTCTAAAGTATACTGTAAAATTGTGGCTCCTGATGTGCTGACATTTTAAAGAAAAATGGTACTTTTCCAACGCTGGTCAGCCGACAAGCATTGGAGAAAACTGGCTATTTTTCCAAAATTGCTCCCAATTTTTTTATAATTAGTTATTCCGCATTTTCTTTGCAATTGATTATACACCTGTGAAGAGGTATAAGTCTGCTAGACTGATTCTCTGACCTTACAATTCCCCAAAGTCTATTAATTGCTCCGTTTTATCTTATAAGTGGGGTCACCAGACTGCAAATTCATGTCTGGTTTTCTTGGCTTTTCCAGCATCTACAAGCCCAAACGTGAAAAAAGTCATTTTAACAATATTTGCTAA